GTTGAGACCTCCGATGAACCCCCCAAAATTCTTATTCCTCAGCCCAACCCCAGCCATTCCAACCTCCTCCTCAGTGACGGATGCCACACCCACAACTGGGAAAGGCTCTGCCTAATGTTCCGCCTGACCGTTGTCGCGATTCCAAAACCAATGACTCTGCAACGCCACACCCCACTACCCCCGACAACACAACCACAACCGGAAGCATACAAACGGCGCAAAAACATCCAACTCCAACCTCCATCACCCGACCAAAACTGCCATCCAATCTCCGCCATATCCCAAACTTAAACTTGACCCAGAGTTATGCTTTAAACACCGCACTCCTCGATCACACCGCTACTCGACCCCCAGCACCACAAGATGCCCGCCGGCTCAACTCAAGCCGTATCACCACCAACCCCGTCTGACCACACCAAGGCCCCAGTGATCCAGCCCACCAGTGCCATGATTCCTGTACTCCATGACGCCAAGCCCTGTGGTCTCCACCAGCTCAAGCGTAACAACACACAAGCCCAACAACAAATTAAAACCGTGCACAGCTTAACCGCCACCAACCCAAACCTTCAGACCCAACCCACTAACTCTGGTACTTTCAAAAATGTCGACAAGCGGGGCACCTGCCCGGCTCAGTCAGTAGAGCGTGTGGCTCTTGATCTTGGGATCGTGAACTCAAGCTCCATATTGGAGGTCAAGTTTACTTAATTAAAAACATTTTTTTTTTCCACAAAGACTTCGACACTCTTCCCTCCACAAGGTGGACCTTAATCCTCCTCCCCTTGACTATGGACTGGACTTGGTGACTCATTTTCCTAAAAGAATGTGGTAGAAGTGACTGACGTGAAAGATATCCTGGCTTCCTTCTTGCGCCCTCGGAATCACTTGCTCTGCGGGAAGCCGTCTGCCGTGTCATGGGGACATCCAAGCATGGATGACATCCATCCATGATGATGACATCCATCATCCCCATGGACAGGCCCACGTCATGAAGACCCGAGGCCTCCTGCCAACCACCAGGGAGGAACATGTGAGGGAACGATCTTTAAAGGAGAGTCTCCCACCCCATTCAGTCCTTCAGATGACTGCGGCCCAACTGACCTCTTAGATGTAACCTCATGGGAGACCCTGAGCCAGACTCCTGCCTTGCAGAGTTCCTGACTTTCAGAAACTGTGAGATAATAAATGTTTGCTGTTTTCGGCTGTCATGTTTTGTTGTTGTTGTTGTTGTTTTAATAGACAGCAGTAGAAAAGTTATGCAAACAGCAGGTACCTCAGTTTCAACCCCATATCCCTAACTAAATCCCATTTTCTATTTTTTTTTTATTTTTTTTAACGTTTATTCATTTTTGAGACAGAGAGAGACAGAGCATGAACGGGGGAGGGCCAGAGAGAGGGAGACACACAATCCGAAACAGGCTCCAGGCTCCGAGCCGTCAGCCCAGAGCCCGACGCGGGGCTCGAACTCACGGACCGCGAGATCATGACCAGAGCCGAAGTCGGCCGCTTAACCGACTGAGCCACCCAGGCGCCCCAAAATCCCGTTTTCAAATCCATCCCCATGGAGGACAGAGCCTGAGGTAACCCCCAATGATCTCCCATCCTTGAGGTCCACACCTTTGTGTAATCCCCTTGAATGTGGGTAGGCCCATGGCTTGCTTCCAACCAGTATGACGTTGCAAAGGTAATGGCGTATCACTCCCTTAATCTCTCCATGGGATGAGGGATTGTCTTTTTTGGCTTGCAGTCATGTTGAGAAAGCCTCCTTACTAAAGAACTGCGGGTGGCTTCTAGAACCTGAGGGTCACCACCGCCAACATCCAGGAAAGCTCTGGGACCCTCAGTCAAACAGCCAAAAGAAAATGAATGGATTCCACCAACAGTCTAAGGAAGCTTGGGAGCGGCTCTCTCCCCAGTAGAGCCTCTGATGAAACCACAGCCCTGGTCAGTGCACGAGTTGTGCCCTGGAGAGACCCTGGAATGGAGAATCTTTTATCTTGTTTTAAGATCTTACTAGGGGCACCTGGATGGCTCAATCGGTTAAGCAGCTGACTCTTGATTTTGGCTCAGGTCATGATCTCACAGTTCATGGGATCGACCTCTGTGACAGGCTCCTTGCTGGGCATGGGGCCTGCTTGGCATTCTCTCTCTCCCTCTCTCTCTCTCTCTCTTTCCTTCTGCCCCTCTCCCCTCCTTTCACTCTCTTGCTCTCTCAATCTAAAATAAAAATAAAATAGGGGCGCCTGGGTGGCTCAGTCAGTTAAGCGTCTGACTTTGGCTCGGGTCATGATCTCGAGGCTTGTGAGTTCGGGCCCTGCGTCGGGCTCTGTGCTGACAGCTCAGAGCCTGGAGCCTGTTTCGGATTCTGTGTCTCCCTCTCTCTCTGCCCCTCCCCCGCTCATGCTCTGTCTGTCTCTGTCTCTCCATAATAAATAAATGTTAAAAAAAATAAAAACAAAAATAAATTGAAATAAAAATAAAATAAAATAATACAATATAAATTAAAAAATAAAAATAAAACATATTTTGTTTTATTTTATTATTTTATTTTATTATTTTATTTTTACATAATCTCTACAACCAGCAGGGCTCGAACTCACAACCCTGACATCAAGAGTCACATGCTCCACCAACTGAGCCAGCCAGGTGCCCCTGCAATGGAGAATCTAACAAAACTCTGCCTGGACTCGTGACCTATGGAAATTAATGGGATAATCAATGTGCGTTTTAAGCCTCTAAGCTTGGGGTACCTTCTCATGCAGCAACAGAAAA